TGTGATCCCTGCACACATCCAGCCCACTTTTGGGTTTTTTTTGTGATCCCTGCACACATCCAGCCCAACTTTGTTGGTTTCCTCAACCCAAACCTTCAGTCTCAAGTGTGGTGTAGGGTTGCTGGAAGGAGAATTCAGAAGGTGTTTGTGGGGCTTTCCCTGGCTGCCCTGCCCCTCAGCAGAGTGGGAATCCACCCTGACACCCGGATCCATCGGGCTTTGTCCCGTGAGCTGTTGTTCTCCAGGAGCAGGAACGGTGCCAGCAGGAGAATTGGCTCTTCCGCAGGGCTGCATTGCAGAGCTGGATCAAAACACGGCTCACACCAGTGCAAAACAAACCCTGCTGAGCTGGGCACGCTCTGCTCCACGCTGAAAGGTGGGACCAAAAGTGGGGAACAGGAGGACAGAGGTTTCTCCTCATGGAGAGAGTTTTAACGTGTGTGGGGTGTCCCTGTCAGTGGTGGAGCATCCTCGCAGTGTTTCCCCGGGTTCTCCCTGTTTCACTTGGGAGATGTGCTGCTCTGAAAGAAAGCAGCGTGTCCAAGGAGCCTCTGGAGCTTCCTGCAGCCCTGGAAGTGCCTGGAAGCTCCAGAGAGGTGGGAGCCGGGCAGTTCTCGCAGGAGGAGCGGCTCCCTGATGCTGCAGGAAGGAGTCGGGATGTGGTGCTGGGATCGGCTCTTTGGGGATGTTCTTGAGACTTCAGAGAGGGAGGGTCTCCCATGGAGGGAGGATCTCCCATGAAGGGAGGATCTCTGGTGGAAGGAGGATCTCTGGTGGAAGGAGGATCTCCCATGGAAGGAGGATCTCCAATGGAAGGAGGATCTCCCGTGGAAGGAGGATCTCTTACACGAGGGAGGGGAAAACTCTTGATGCTGAGGCTGCTTTTTCATAAGCTGCTGTTGCGTAAGGGGAGCCTTGGGCAGCCCAGAAAATGTGAAGAACTTCCTCGCAATGCTGGAGACAAAGCCAGGATTGCTCCCTCGATTTCTTTCTTCCTTTTATGCTTTCCTCAACTTCAAGGCTTATGTAAATTGCCCAGGTGTGCCCAGGGCTGCATGCGCTGACGATAACTTTCATTTGTAACCTGGGGGTGCAACTTCCACATGAAAATTGGAAAACTGTCTCTTCTGCTCCTGCCTTGGCCTCTTTGCCCCATCCTGCTGCCTGCAGGGCGGCTGCTGGAAGCAGCTGCTGCCAGGGTTCTCCTCAGTGGCCGAGGGTGGGAACATTCACAGCAGAGCTGTCTCCGAGGTGGGCTCTGTCCCTTCTCCCATGCCCTTGCCTTGCTCACTCCTGGGTTTTGCCGTGTCCTTCCTGTCACCCATGTGTCCCCTCTGCCCTGCGTGGCAGCCTGGCACTGGCTCCTTGCTGTCCCAGGATGGAGGCACCACAGAAGTCCTGGCTGCAGGAGCCTCTGCTGAGCTCGGCATCGCCCCTGCCTCGGCCTTTTCCTCCTTCCAGGACTGCGCCAACCCCTCGCTGCAGTGCTGGGCATGCAGTGGAGGTGGGAGGGTCCCCATGCCAAGGGACAGTCCCGGCCACGGTTTGTCTGGGCCCTGTCACCTGCTGGCACGGGGACAGCAGCTCTGGGATAATTGAACTGCACGTTAAGCAGATCTGTGGCTTGTGGTTATTCAGCCTTTGGAAGCTGGGTTTAACTGGAGGGCCCTAACTGGCCGTCACTGTCTGGGTGAGGGATGGAATCAGAGGTGCCCTGTTCCCCCTCATGCCCTGGGTACGTTTTGGAGGGTGTTTTTAGAACAGAGAGAATTTGGGGAATTCAGTTATTTCATAGAATCATAGGGTGGTTTAGGACGGGAGGTTCCTTAAAGCTCATCCAGTGCCACCCCTGCCATGGCAGGGTCACCTTCCCCTGTCCCAGGGTGCTCCAAACCCTGTCCAGCCTGGCCTTGGACACTTCCAGTAATTCAGGGGCAACCCCAGCTGCTCTGGGCAACCTGTGCCAGGGCCTCACCGCGCTCATAGGGAGGAATTTCTTCCCAATTAGCAATGTAGATGCTGTGCTGGTGACTTACTCCTGACAAAAAAGCCAGGAGGAAGCACATTTCTGGGATGTGAGCGAGCTGGCAGAGCACAGTGGCATCACGAGTATTCAAATGCAGCTGCTGACGGGATGGACACGCTGGGAACTGGCAGGGACTGGTTTCAGGTGCTGAGTTTGATCTCCAGAAACTGCAGCTTGTGTACCTAAGGGTCCTAATCAACATGCTCCTAGAATTGCCATTTAAATTTCCCTGCATTAATCTTGATGCTGGTTATTAACCAGGACCAGATCTTTCCTCCCCACATCTGGTGGCTGGGTGCAATCCCAGCCCTTCCTCCCAGGGGGGAGCTGAGCCAGGAGCTGTGAGGAGCTGCTTGGGCAGAGCTGGGCTTTGGGATTTGGGATCTGAGCTTTGGGATTTGGGGTGCTCCGGGTGCCTCGGTCCTGCCGGCTCCCTTTGAGGCTCCTTTGGCCACAGCAGCATCTCTGCAACTCCAGCTCCACGGAGGTGCCTGGGCGGGCTGGACCTGTGGCAACAGGCTCGGCTCGACGTGGGCTCGAGGTGGTTTGTGCTGGGGCTTGGCCTCATCCCAGCACGGAGCAGCCGTGGCCACGCTGGGCTGCAGCTCAGCCCTGGGGATGCTCGGGGAACTCTGGGGCTGGGGACAGCCACCTCGGGGTCCCGATGCTGCCGGAGGTGGCCTCGGGGGCTGTCCCAGCATTGGCTTCGCCCCAAGGGCGCTCGCAGCAGCCCTACCTGCTGCGACCCGGGTCTCTCTCGGTGAGGTGAGAGTTGTTGTGCAGAGTTTCCTCTTTTATATCCTCTTATGTCACGCAGCCCCGGCGGCTGAGCGCGCCCGAAATAGCTGCCAATCCCGGGAGGTTTCACTTCAAGGTCTCTATTCTTGGCTCGCCGGCGTTACTCAGTCATGAGCTCAGGGAGCGCGGCGTGAGGAGCAGCGGCGAGTGCCATGCAGGGCTCCTGCTGGCCCGGGGTGGCTCCGAGGGGACACTGTGGGCACAGCCCGGCTCGGCAGCCGCACGGCTGCGGGCTCTGAGACCCCGGGGTGGGCATGAAATAAGTGCTGCCGGAGCCACCGCGCTCCCGGCGGAGCCCGAGCCGCTCCGGGACCGGGACGGGATGCGTTGGTTCTGAGCGGCGGCCTGGGTTGTGTCTGACCCAGCTCGGCACGGCTCAGCTGCTCTCCCCGCTGCGCCGAGGAGCGGGTGGGCGGCAGGGATGAAGCAGAAGTGAATGTGGGATGCGGAGCCGCGGCTTCCCGGGAGCGAAACTCGCTGGATGTTCTCAGGGTTGGAGATCTCCACCACGCTGGTGATGTTCAGCCCGTCCTGTAAGTGCCTCTCCCATCCCTGGGCGTTTGTTCCTTCCCTGCACGGCTGTGAGCCCCGGCGGGGCTGGGGGAAGGTGTGGAGGGAGCATCCTTCAGGATGCGCACGGAGAGGGAACAAGGCCGGGTTCGCTCCTGGGCCTGGAGTGGAGCTCCTGGGGTGGTCCGGTGGCCATGGCCACCAGCCAGGCTGGCTCAGGGCACTGGGGATGGATGGGCTGGCTCAGGAAACTGAGGGTAGATGGGACCAGCCACCAGCGAGGCTGGCTCAGGGCACTGGGGATGGATGGGCTGGCTCAGGAAACTGAGGGTGGATGGGACCAGCCACCAGCGGGGCTGGCTCAGGCTCAGGGCACTGGGGGTTGATGTCCCAGCTCGGGTCGTTCTGCAGCCTTGGAGCCACGGGACGGGAGCCACAGCGCCCGTCCCAGCTGCAGCAGCAGGCACAGGAGAGGCTCCTCTGTCAGCTGCATTTTCTGGCTGCTCCAGAGCAAACTCACGAGTTTCCCACCAGCTCTGCTCAGATCTGGTGAAGGCACTGCCTGGGGGGATGAAGGGGTAATGCTTCTGCAGGATTTTGCCTCTTTTTGAGGGTTCTTCTTGGGAGGAACCTCATTTTCCAGATTTCCTTTCAACTCCTTTAACATTTTCAAGCTATTCTGCCTCCAGCCTTGCTGGGTTGGGTGCATTTCCACCCTGGTGTTGGTCATGCCCAGCTTGGGGCACGGCCAGCATCCTGCACCTGGGGGATTTATGGCAGGGGGGAAAAAGCCCAAACTGGGTGAGAAAGGTGCTGGTGGTGGCTTTGGCTGAGCTGGGAGGTGCTTGGGGCTCTGTACGTGGGGTTGCTGGGGAGGGAGTGTTGTGTTCCGAGCTCGCATCCTGCCTCCGCTGCGGGGAGCGGTCACGTGCGCGCGAGGCCTTTGTCCTGCGCCTCGCTGCTTTTTTTAAAATTTATTTTTAGGTGCTCTCTGGCTTCCTCTTCCTCCTGCGCCGCGCTGCACTCCCTCTTTCTAACTCCCTCTTCTAGGATTGCTTTTCTGAACAGTCAGTTCCTCCTTAAAGCCATTTTTGCAGGCCTTTGTCTGTGCTTGGGAGCCGGCCCAGTTTAGCGCTAGCAGCTGCTGGCTGCTCTGGGTGAGCAAGAGCAAATAAAGGTTTACACTGAATGAATCATTGGAGCCTTATCTGTCCTCCCCAGCCGGGACAGCTGTGCAACTTCTGCTGGAGCGCCTGGAGGGCACGGAGGCTCCTCAGAGAGCTCCTCCTGCCCCTGGCCGGCCTCAGTGGGTTTGTGCTGCTGATGCCAGGGCTGCCTCAGCGAATCCTTCCTGTCTCCCGGCTCTATCCCACGCTTGGTGGTGAAGCTCCTCTCTGGAATGGCTCCTTTCCTTGAGGACTTGTCCCTCTGGAATGGCTCCTTTCCTTGAGGACTTGATCCTCTTGGCTGCTTCGGCCTCGAGGTTGCTTTGGGTGGTTTGGTCGCTGGGTGAAAATGCAGAAGCGTCGTTGTGGGAGCCACATCCTGGTGGGATCTTGGTCATGGTGGGATCCTGGTCATGGTGGGATCCTCATCCCTGGTGGGATCCTCATCCTGGTGGGATCCTGGTCATGGTGGGATCCTCACCCTGATGGGATCCTGGTCGTGGTGGGATCCTGGTCATGATGGGATCCACATCCTGGTGGGATCCTCATCTGGTGGGATCCTGGTCATGATGGGATCTTCATCCTGGTGGGATCCTGGTCGTGGTGGGATCCTCATCCTGGTGGGATCCTCATCTGGTGGGATCCTGGTCATGGTGGGATCCTCATGGTGGGTGAGCTTTGAGGGCAGACAGGGTGTGTGGCGATGATCTCCTGGTGTCCCCCGGGCTGTGGGACAGAGCGTGGCGCTCAGGAGCTGTGGCGTGGCTTTGCTGGTTTAAGAGGCAGGATTTGCAGATAAGCGGCCATAGTTTAATAACAAATAACAAATGTTTAATTACAAATGTGGGAGGAGGGAGGGGACAAAGGCAGATAAATCCTTGGGCTCGTGCCTGGGAAGTTTGGATCTGACACCGAGGCGAGGAGCTCGTGCTGGATCCTGGGCACGGAGGGCTCCTGAGGGACACCCTGGCAGCCACCGGGGGCCTGGATCCATCAGCCCTTCTCCTCCCCCTGGCAGCTCCGAGTGCCCCGTGCCGGGCTGAGCACACAGAGCCTGCACAGCCCCACGAGGCTGGGGTGGAACCTGCTTTTCTCCTATGGCAGAGCAGCTCTCAGCCACTCTGCTTTTACCACGAGTGTGCTCAGCCAGGGCTTGGCTTCTCTGCCCTTAACTCATTTTTTAGCCTTTAGGTGGACGGGGCAAAAGTCCTGCTGGGTTTGTCCAGGCAGGGTTTGTGGAGCTGTGGGGCTGGGCTGTGTTGTGACGCCTCTTCTCCTGCTGTGGGGATGCTGAATCCCCCCTTCCCCACCAGCTGCAGGCTCCATAGAAGCGAGCAGGAATAATTCACCTGGATTAAACCACAAATCTTCCCTCTCCTTCCAAGGCTCTGCTGCCGTAAACAGCCACAGGCTGGGGTAGGTGAGTGGAGGCAGCGCGGCCCTGCCAAGGCCTCGTGTCCACAAATGACTAAATCCTGCCTGAAAAGTCAAAGTATGAAAACATTATTTTTTGGGTTTGGCTGAGCCTCGTGGATTGCTGGGATCGAGCCACCTTGGCTGCCTCTGGACACTGCCTGTGGCTCTGCCCACCTTGCAGCCGGCGAGGAGGGTGGAGGAAGGTGGCAGGGATTTGGGGGTGCCAGTTGTCACCTGAGGGCTGGGTCAGGAGCCTTGCTGTGCCCAGAGGTGGGTCTGTCACCCTGGGCTTTGAGCACAAGCAGGGCTGGACCTGCCTCTCCACATCCCTGCTCCCAAATTGCTTCTCCTTCCTGCGCTCGCATCTCCAGCTGCCCGGGCTGGGGAATTTCCTGCTGCTGGCGATGGATGGCAAAGCTGATGTGGGGCTTTGTCTCCCATCGCAGCCTCCCGGGGCGAGCTGAGCTGATTCCCAGCTCCTTGGGCTCTCCCAGCTCTCACCCACTGCAGGGACAGTGCCTGGCTGGATCCAGAGGTGGGTGGTGGCTGGATCCCTGGTTTGGGATCCCTGCACCGACCCTGCGCCGTTCCCAGGTGCCCGGAGCCGCCGGCACAGGGCTGGCAACCGCCAGCCCCCGGTGCGTAGCCAGGCCCGGCGGTGAGACGCTGGTATGCGAGATGTAAACTCAATCCCAAAGTTTAGATTACAGCCCTGTGAAAAACATCAGCTCCCCTAAATGGAGCCCAGATGGTGGCGGAAGCCTCGAAGAAGCCGAGGGCCAGGAACTGCAGGAACCGTGTGAGCAAAGGGCCCGGGGCTGTGGGGGAGGGAGAGGAAGGGAGGTGGGGTTGTGGTTTAGGGTCAGCTCCTAAACCAGGCTGGATCCTTGGAGGTGGGGTTATGGGTTAGGATCAGCCCCTAAACCAGGCTGGATCCTCAGGGGTGGGGTTATGGGTTAGGATCATCCCCTAAACCAGGCTGGTTCATCAGGTGTGGGATTATAGTTTAGGGTCAGCTCCTAAACCAGGCTGGTTCCTTGGAGGTGGGGTTTAGGATCAGCTCCTAAATCAGGCTGGTTCCTCCACCTCATCCCCTTGGAACAGCCAGGGATGGCCAGAGTTTCCCAGGTTGTCATGGGCAGCACAGCCTTTCCAGAGCTGAGGTTTCCCCAGAGCTGAGCTCTGCATCGAGGCTGCACCGGGGCCACGAGCACAGAGCTCTGCCCTGCCAGAGGAGTTTCTCGGTGCCCTCACCTGAGCAGGTCCAGGGCTGAGCCCAGGGTGAGGGGAGAGCAGAGCTGGAGCTGGTTTGGGCAGGAGGAGCTGCCCAGGATGGTGGGGACCAGCTGGGGGAGCCGGCCCTGAGTCAGGGTCCTGCTGTTGTGAAAAATGAAATGTCCTGGGGCATTCAGAGGGGGGCTGGGAATCCTTCCCCCTGTGCTCTTTTTGGAGATGTCTGGGAGGGCTGGACCTGGGAGGACGGAGCTCTCCAGATGCTCTGGTGGTGTGAGAGCAGCTGGTTCCCCTCCTGCAGAGACACCAAACATCTATAGGGACACAGAGCCCCTGTAGGGACACAGAGCTCCTGTAGGGACACAGAGCACCTGGGACACCTCCAAAATCCCTGCAGGACTGAACCTCTGCTGAGTCTGTGCTTTTGGGTGGTGCCAAAAAGCATCAGGTGGGAGTGAGGAAATGGGACATCAGGTAGGAGTGAGGAAATGGGACATCAGGTAGGAGTAAGGACTGGTGACTTTGATGCTCTTAATGCAGTGTCAGCACTGTACTCCTCACTGCAGAAAGGCTCAAAAAGCTGCAGAAAGGCGGCCCTGCCTTGCAGGGAGAGGCGATGGTGGAGCCCAGGCTGGCTGGTTGGGCTGGGAACACTCGAGGGCTCGGCTCCTTTGGCGGCTGGAGCAGAGCAGGACGTGTTGGAGGCAGGGGTTGAGCTGTGGTTTGTGCGTTGGCCTCGTCCTTCCTGCGTGAACAACACCTCATCTGATCAGTGCTCGTGTCAAATCACAGCCCAGGGAGTCCCTGGAGAAGCATCTGCAGTCGGCTCTGGCCCTGGCCAGGGCTCCACAAGTCTCGGTTGCCGTTCCCGCGGGTTCCTTGGCCGCCTCCTTGTTTGTGCTCCGAGGTGTGGATCTCTATCAGTGCCGATGACGAGCCCTTGAAAGGGAGCAGGGAACTGGGAGGGTTGGAATTGTTTTTGCCTTGGTGGGACCTTGCTGTCAGAGCTGGATTCTCGGGGTGTCTGGCTGGTTTAGTCACAGCAACCGGGCCTGGGTGGAGGTTCTGTCCCAGCCGGGGCCGGGCTGGATCGGCACTGGGGAGCAGGGATGGGGCTGGGCTGGGGGAGCCGGGCGCTGGCACGGGGGGACGCCAGCTCCAGCGCAGCCCAACCAGCCCAGCCCCACACGGACGCGCCTGGGACGCGG